AAATTGATATTGAAGCCATCAAGGAAAAGGTAAAGAATGCAAAGAAGAAGAAATTAGGAGCACTTCCTGTGGAAGAAGTCAAGTTAAAAATGGCAGCAGATGAAAAGAAAAAAAAGAAAAAGAAGTAATTCACCACCTGAGATGTTCACTTTTCTCCCATGTTAATGAACATTTTCACACTTGGAAGATTTGAGACTTCTTGCTGTCAGTATAATCCAGACAAGAAAAAAAAAAGGTAGAAAGATCATTCGCTTTCAAGTACACTTTAATTGGTGGACCTGAAGTGGCTGTGCAAAATTGCCAAGATTGGTGAAGAAAATCTGCGCTGCTGTGTTGCTTGACAAAGTAAGGGAGTGTACTTGGATAATATGCATCTGCCTAAAGGGAAGGTTTCGTAATAGAAACATTTAGGAGTTTGATGCAGGATGTTAGACATTAGAGTCGGAGAACTTGGTGAGAGTTGAAGGTAGTTCTTGCGTGAAAGACTACCAGACTGTATACAGCCTCAGTTATGGTGATAACTGTTGCAAAACAGGCAAGGTTTATCGCTGTATTATGCTTTTGTTTCTGTAAAAGCTGATTATTTTTGCGTGTCTTGTCTGAGTGTTAATAAACTATTTTAATACATTGTTCTTAAATCATTGAATTGGTCAGTTACTGTACAACCTGCATCTTATTTTCCAGAAAGCAAGCTCACAACTTCATGTGAGAATTAGACAAACCTTAATCTTAACTGAATGCCATTAATGAAATGTCATTTATTAGCATTATCCTGGAGGCTGTTAGACAGAATGTGGTACAAAGCAAGTGTCTTTCTACATGGAATATGCTGCAGGGAAAGCAGAAGGTCTTGTTATCTTTCTTGAAATACATTCTTAGTTTATTTCTTGGTTGCAAGAAAGTGTAAGCAATTGTGTTCCTCTTCTTTTTTTTTCTTTTTTTTTTTGAGGCCCTTCCCCTTTTGTAAAGGAAGCTTAGGCGTTTTTAGTTTCCTGAAAATGCAAAATGTGATGAAGTAAAGTTCATCAGAAGAGCAGATGTTGCTTATTTCGTACATCTGAGATTAAAGAAGCAAATGTAATAACTAGGAGGTGGTAGAGCCACAACAATTTCATGATTATGTTGGAGTCCTTTTGCATATGCAGTGGAAATGATTATGCTAAAACTTTGCAACTGACTGCTTTTAGGTTAGTGACTTTTTGTTTGAAACACAACCAAGCAAAACCACAACCATTTCCTTTTTTGCATATCTAAAGTAGCAGTTAGAATATATGTGCTTAAATACATATGTACATGTACATTGAGAAGTAGCTAAGATGCTTGCCCTTTAGGCTAGCGGACAACATTAGCCTTCGTGTGCCATTCAGTTATGTGATCACTTCTTGACACTTAAGGAAAAAATGCTCTCAATCCTTTTATGGACCGCATTTTTTTGTAAACAGCACTTTAGTTACCTGCAAAATCAATCAGGCAAATACTACTTCAGCAGATACTTCACTGAGGGTATGATCCATAAGTCACAAGTGTCCATCTCAGAAACTGCAGTGAGCTTATGGGTTTGTTTAGTGATTAAAAGCTTTCTTGAAACACCAACTGGTGTTTAGCAGTTGACAGTGTAAGGGGTGACCTAAGTTTACAGTACCAGTCAGGTAGTTCATGCCTCTCATATAGTGAAAGGACTAATTTCAACAGGAGGCACTGTAATACTTGAGGTTAAATGCCTGTTCTCACAGCGTGATCCCATGAATGAGTGCTTCAACGGAAGAGTCTGCAGAGCTAGAAGCCAGTAAGGAGGGAGTCTGACTTTTTTTTTGGAAAGAGCATGAGTGTATTAGAGGAGGGAGAGTCCTTGGTTCTAATCTGGATAGTATAAGGCACCTTTCACTGCAGATGACTGGCATAGATGTTCCCTTGTTTGTTTTTTAAAAAGTTAAAATTAAAAACCAGTGTGGGGCTTGTTTCCCTATCCTACACTGGTCTTGCAGGCTGGCATTTCATTTCAGGAACCTGATCCAGCTGAAAGCACCCTACAAAAACGCGATGGTTTTCCAGCAGCATCAGCTAACTGCGTGGTTGCTCGAGTTGCAGTGCAGGAAAACAGCTCGCTTTGGTGGCAGCCTGGCCTTAAATTACGTATATTTCCATGGAAGTGTGATTTTTTTAATTTAGTACCCACAGCTGAGGCATCTATGTAGCTTTATACCTATCCATAGTAAAACTCCAATAGACTTCAGGGAGTCTTGTCCTTCTGTCGTTAGGGGTGAAAAGGCTTTGCGTTGTGTTTAATCTTTTTCAGTTGTTATGGTTGACAGATCTCAAGGATTGTTGGTTGGACATTTATTTACTTGAACTGGAAAATCAAGAAAGCCTACTCATATTCCTGTAGGCAAGTTAAACCAAAGGATTTGTCTGCATAGAGTGCGTATCTGAATGGTAACTGGCTGCATGGGGTCCTGTTGGTGCTTTTTGCACCTGTTTTCTCAGAGAATATGGCTATACAATTCCAACACTTGTAGAAAAGGTAAAGAATAGAAAACAAAGTGGATTTGGAAGGGTGAAAAATTATGGTATTTTCGGAACAGCTTGAACTATTGCAAATATGCAAATTCCTTAAACTGATTTTAGAGTTTACAGACTTGCAAAAAAGTACCTGAAGGCTGTATTATGTATCAGTGGTTTGCATTTATCATACGGAATTCATGGGCATATGCCATAAGATAAATGTGGACAATTCAAAGTGGTTTATCATCTGGAGTTAAATGTCTAGATTTTTGGATGTCCTTGAAATGAGATACAGTACTTGTTTAGCTTTGACTTCTTGACTTTCAGGCTTTTTTGTTTGAAAGATACCATGTTGTAAAGTTTAGGGTTTTTTTCCCCTAAGCCCCAGTGATTTACAGGTTTTTTTAATGAAGCTTTTTCCATGGTGTTTCCTTAGAGCTGCTGAAGTATATAGTTAAATGACAGTACTGTGAATGTTTTGAACTTTAAGGGCTCTGTGTTCGTTCTGTTTACTCTCCTGGAGACCAAGCGTAGATTAAACTAAGCAGGGTAGAATTTTTGCTGAGCTCATTTTTGCTCCCTGGATGCAGCGGTGTATGCTCTTCCCTCTCCTGCGTTTCTCTTTGCAGCACTAGGATCTAACTGCACCTGGCTTCAGTGGGGCAGACACCGTGCCAGGCTCTGTGCTGCAGTGGGCGCCCTGTGCAAGAGAGTCTACAGAGAGTAAGTCCTGCTGCCCACGTGCCGCTTGCGGTCCCATTTTCAGATGGGACTTTGCAGTACATGGAGCTTGAGGCTTGGGTCTCACACAAAAGAATGGCAAACAGACAAGTGGGGAGGAAAGTAGCTGCTCTTTTTAACAGATAGACCCATGGCCTTGCTTTTGCAATGGGGATTTTTTTTTTTTTTAAAACACCCTAGTCAGCCCAGTTTGGAAGACAGAACCAAGCTTGGCTCTCTGACAAGTAGGCCAGCATGGGTACTGGGACCCTGGTCACTGGAGTGTGGAGAAGAAACTGTTCATTTGTCTGTGTGCGTGATGTCTTGGCTACAGGGGCTCTGGCAGCCAACAAACTTAAGTGTAAAGATACATCAAGGGCAAAGCTTGGAATTTTGTCCCCAGCCACATTTGCATTTTGAAAAATGATTTATTAAGGCTGTGATGCTGAGATGATTTGAGTGCAAGCAGTACCTGCAATAATAGCATGAGAAACTTTGGGTCCCAGTTCCAGTGTTTTCGGTTAAGATCCACCCCAGCAGTGGGGTCAGGAGTGGGTATGCAGAAACACCGACAGGTACTGTGGGGGCAGAAACCACACAGCTGGGGAACTTCCCAGCCTCCTTTATAGCAATGTGTGTCTGTTCCCTGCAGAGGGCCATGATGCAGACGCATCTAAACCCGCCTCTGAATAGATACTGCTCACGGTCCAGCTGTGAGCTTGTGCAGCTCTGCTCCTTCCAGCCTTCGCTCCAGCTGAGGAATGGCGGTTGGTAGAGGACATGCCCAGCTGAACACAGCAGCTGTCCCCACTGCTTTCTGCCTGCTCCAGATGTGTGGGTTGCAGGAGACTCATCCCTTGGCAGCCGTTGAACCAAAGGCATAACTACACGCGCAGCATGATTTTATTTGGAGGTTTATGTCATCTTTCCCAGCGTTGTGTTTCTCCGCATTGTGCAGGTTGGAACTGAATGTGCAGGTTTTTTGTGCACCAGCAGTTAAGCTTTAGATCATGTTGCAAATACACGATTGCCATACATGGGAAGCAGGAAATAATGCTTTATTGTTTGAAACAGCAGTCGTACACTCTATGCTCAGAAAAAAAAAAAAGAGGAAAAAAAAATAAAAACAAACAGGAAACATTGCAGTGGTACATAATCATGTGTAAAAACAGGTGAAACTATGTTTTGGCATAGATGATGCATGTTTAAAACCAAATTCTAAGCAAAGAGAAGTACCAGAGGCCCCAGTGTACTGTGAGACTGGGAAGCACACTGCCTGCCACAGGGTGCATATCCCAGAGCTCACAGGGGTCCAAAAATTATTAGAAAAAATGTTTCAATGATAAACGTCTCCAGGCTACTCTGCATCTTGCTGGAGGAGTGTCCAAGGAAAGAGCGCGATGGGAACCAGAGAAGCCTCTGCCTGGGACGATGCTGCTGGGCTGGGCACCCTCCAGCCCTTTGGAAGCAAGTATGGCAGGCAGCTGCCTGCACCTCAGTGCGTTGCGTGGGCAGTGTGCTCCCTCACCCACCAGATCCCACTCACTGCAATTTTTAAAAATACATGGGTAATTTAAAACCATTTACTGGTTCTGTTCATCGAGAAGGCTGCTTATCAGCTCTCCTAGCTGCTGCCTGCAATGAAGATGGTATTTCTGTACTTCTAAATCACCTGTGAATGCAAAAAATGTCTCTAACGATCTTTGTTCTGCCAGTTAACTTCTGTGCAGGGAAGGGATGAGTTGACCTAAGTGCTCTCATGGTCTTCTGCATGCGTGTCACTCACTGGTGGGTGTTATGGACCAGTATTTTGGTAGGAGCCAGGTGGCCAGAATTGTCAGTATAAGGAGTAATGGCCTTAAAACAATAACGGTGATGCAGTACTCATCACATGCAGGTCTGTCCCAGTCTGGGCGCCACTTGGAATCACCTACGAACAAAATAAGTTACTTGTGTTCAAGTATAACTGCACCAAGGGCAACAAATGGAAGCAGTAATTCTGGTGGTACTTACTGATGACTTTGTCACGCTCTGCGTTTTCTGGAGAGACAAAAGAAGTGAACATAAGCAGACTTGCACATTATAAACAATTTGAGTCTAAGCAAAAGGGAATGAAGTGTGAGCCTCACGATGGGCTCACAAATGCAGCTATGGCAGCTGCGTTTCTTTCCAGGAAGAAGCAAAGACCCGGTGACTTTGGGAGAGCTCTGCAGCGACCCTCAGGCTTTGCTGAGCAGCACTTGATCACACTGTGTTGACTTCTCCTCCCACCAGTGGCTGGCATAGAGAGGACTCACTCCTCCAGGCGTGCTTCCCAAGATCAGTTTAGCATTTGCCCAGTGCCTTGCGTTTAAGACCCTCAACTTGTAGCTAACATTAAACAGTCTGGTGCATCGGGGTCTCCCTCTTGTTCCTGTAGCGCTGGTGTTTTAACATCAGCTTCCCACTCCGTTAGTTTGCCCAGGGTCAAATGCTAGGGAAAAATGGGACTGTACCTCAGGTCCCCCTGGGCAGATGTCCACAGCACAGTGCCTTGTCCTTCTTACTGCAGGTGGTCTTCTCCCCTGCTGACCCCATCCAGCCAAGTGCCGGAGAATCAGGTGGGTTGTCAGGGGTGCAGGCTGAGCACCGTGTCCCCGTGAAGGGCATGTCAGCTTGGCTCTCTCCCCGTGCATAGGGGAAAGCAGATGGCCTGGCTGATGTTCACTGGAGTGGGCAGCTTTGGCAGTGTCGTGGCAGCTCTCCCCTCCCGCAGCGGCACGGCGGGGGCAAGGCTGGCTTGGATCTGGGCTGGCTTGGACCTGCACCGGCTCAAGCCGCAGCTCGTGCACCAGCTAATAACCTGGAGCCCCCAAGAGTGGATGTGTGTCCACTTCTGTGCTTCCCAGTTCTCTGAGCAGTAACTCCAGGCAGGGATAATACCACCTTGAACTACAGCCACTATATCTCCTATATCATACCCTCTAGCACCTGAGGAGCAAACCTCACCCCATCACTCCCCTGGGGTAGAAAACAGGCTCTTTCCACCCTCCTCCCCTCTCTTTGTGCCTCATTGCTCACTTGGCTTCTGACTGCAGTTTTTCAGTCTATATTTAGGAACAGGAGAGCGCTGTGCCTGCCTCCTGCCAGGATCTTTTGTGTGATCTTTCCCTTTCTACGTGTGCTTGGGGAGGAGGGCTGGTTGTCTTCTACTTACGACACAGCTGGGCGGCACACTGCTCGCCGTTGCAGTCGCTGCACGCTGCTCCCGTCTTGTATGGGCGCCTTGGGTAATTCCCTCTGGAAGGAAAATAACACTGCTTTCAAACCACCCTTGGGAGGGGGATGTTAATACCTACCACTAATCAGTTTTTAACCTGGGGTTTGCCTCCCTTGTGTTGACAGGGAGATGGTTTTTGGGCAGTCCCTGTCTGAGTGCCCTGTGCCCGAGACATGCGGTGAAGCAAAAGAGGTTAAGTGTAATGGGGCACCTGGTTGAGGAACCTGGAGACAGCAGTACTGCAAACCTGGGAATTAAAATAGTCTCAACAATGGATAATTTGCGTGTGTGGAGACTGTGGGCTCTCAAAGCTGGCTCTAGCTATGGGAGCAAAAGCAGATTCAGTTACTCTGTCTGTACGTGCATATTCAGCCTTGAAGAGGAATCTCTGGTGCTGGAGAATCTCCCATAGCTAGTGATTCCATCCATCTGTTGGTAAATATTTTAGGAGCAATGTGCGTCTCCCCCTGCTCCCTCCCTCTGCCAGCAGTGGGAGTGGCACTAGCTACCTCTGCCCAGGCTCTCGGCTCGATATCTCGATATCGAACCTGCCCATCTCTGATACTGCACCACGCACAGCTCAGTGCTTCGCTTTGCTTGGAGCGTGGCCAATGTGAGATTTACAGCGTGCCTCAAACTGCCCATAAACACACTGAGATGGATTTTATATGCATGCAGTCTCAGCAGTGCTAAACTTGGTGGTAAAGCCTCATTACTTTAAACAAGGTGAGGCTTTCATTGCTTGGTTTAAGCTGAAGAAAATCCTTTGGAGTCTATTCACTTCAGGAATTGTAATTGTGCGTGCATCTTGCTTTGACCCTTGGCAGAGGGCTGCTCTGCTGGGTGCTGTGGAGGGTGAGGGCAACCTTCTGATGCTCTGCTGGGTGCTGTGGAGGGTGAGGGCACCCTTCTGCTTGCCCGTGGGATCCCTGCTGATGCAGGGCAAGCAATCCAGCGTGATTTCAGTCCTCTGCATGACACAGATATTGGCTAAGGGGCAGGATGAGGAAGGCTTGGCTCATGGCTTTGGGAGATCCAGGCGTGAGGCTTGAGGGGCAGAGAGCACCTCCTGGCAGGACTGGGGACCTGCTTGCCTGTGCACAGGGTTTCTGCACCATCTAGCATGGTGGGGTGCATAGCAAGTGCTGAGAAGGGAAAGGACAGGCTACTCAGTGGCTTTTGGCTCAAGAACCGGCAGAGGCAATGATTGCTCAGCCCCGTTGGGTGTGGGGCTTCTGGGGAGAGCAGTTGTGTTGCTTTGGCACAGCAGCAGCTGTGTCATTTCAAGGTATCTGGTCAGGGGTACGTGTTCTTCCAAGGATGAAGCACAGGCAACAGGAATGCAAAACTTGCTCGACTTCATGGGCTGGCCTGCCCTTGGCCCAACATGGTATGCATTATAAAGCTTTTAAAGCTGTATTTAGGCTGTGGTGGCATTAATTAGCTGGAGAAGGGTAAAACCATCAATCCTAGCTGGGTATCCTACTGACTATGCATATGAAGGATATCTGGATAAAATTTTGCCTTGAGCAACCCCAGCCTCACAAGAAGCCCTCAGCTGCTAAGACTGCAGCTGCAAGCATTGCACACTTCAATATTTATCCAAACCGTTGGCCTAGAGGCTTAATTCTGCAGGCGTGTGTGGAAATAATTTCAGACTTGGGGCTTGCACCTTGGCAACTGTCTGGCGCCATCTTGGCATTCAGGAGGAAGGGATTAATTTTCAAATGATTGCTTCATTGTTTTCATGTCAGCATCTTATATTTTACCCTTTCTGCTTGTGCCATTGCTTTTTGGCTACAATACATACCCATAATATAGCAAAAAAAAAATAATCAGGTGGGACAGAGGTGTATTTCTTTCTCTATTTTGGGGGCCATTTCCTCCCACAAGACACGTGAATAGATGGACTGACCTAATAAAGTTGTACGTTGTAGGAGGAAAGGGTTAGGACCCAAACCCTGTGAAATATTTCATAGAATGGTTTTGGTTGGAAGGGACCTTGAAGATCATCTAGTTCCAACCCCCCTGCCATGGGCAGGGACACCTCCCACTAGACCAGGTTGCTCAAAGCCCCATCCAGCCTGGCCTTGGACACCTCCAGGGATGAGGCATCCACAACTTCTCCAGGCAACCTGTTCCAGTGCTTCACCACCCTCAGAGTGAAAAATTTCTTCCTAATATCTAATCTAAATCAACCCTCTTGCAGTTTGAAGCCATTCCCCTTCATCCTATCACTACATGCCCCTGTGAAAAGTCCCTCCCCAGCTCTCCTGTAGGCCCCCTTTAGGTACTGGAAGGCTGCTATAAGGTCTCCCCAGAGTCTTCTCCAGACTGAACAACCCCAACTCTCTCAGCCTGTCCTCATAGGAGAGGTGCTCCAGCCCTCTGATCATCTTTGTGGCCCTCCTCTGGACCCACTCCAGCAGGTCTATGTCTTTCCTATGTTGTGGGCTCCAACATGGCATTGTCACATTTGTAGCGAAAAACCTTACGCGGGCCCGTAGTTGCAGACGAAGTGTGCTGCGTTGGTTACATGGGAGTACGCCACCTTGGGACAGAAGTGGACAGCACAGCCAACCTTGTAGCTTGTAGCCCAAACGATCTGCAAAGAGAGACAGGTACACCGGTGACAAAAGCTTTGCTTCAGCGTGTGAAGTGTTACGGAGAAGACCTGCCCTCCTCTGTTTCATGACAAATTGGCTGAGGAGCACTCCTTGGGCAGGCTTCCTGGGGGAAAGCAGTAGTGATGGATCTTGAAATCGTATCTTATTCTGAAAAGCACCTGATTGTTTTGCCCAATTTACCAGATATTTGTTAAAACAACCCTCAAAGAAAGAATAACTGGCTGTAACAGGTAGTTTTCCTTTCTTGCAAAGGAGAAGATGAAGTTCATCTCCTTTGCTTTAAGGTAATTCATTAGCTTTATGTCTTTCCTGATGGGGGAGAGCTGATCCAATCTGTGCAGAAAAGGCTACAGCTGCTACGAGGGCTGATTGACCTTGTACTAAATCCAGTGGGGACGTATAGGCAAATTGCTGGAAGGCACTGGTGTTATGGGAGGAGGAGAGAGAAGGAGTGTGTCCAAGCTGCAGTCCTGCCTTTTAGCATCGTGGCCATGACTAAGATAATCTAGAGGTGAGTGCGTTACATCATCTAGTGATCCTCTGTCTACCAGAAGCCATTCAGGTCGATCCAGCATCTTATATCTACCTCAAAGATTACAGTGCAGCCAGATGCTGCAGTCCTGGAAAAATAAACCCTGTGACAGAAGCGGAGGGGAGACGAGGGCACAGCAGCACCTGAGGGCGATACAACAGCAGCAATGACTGACTACGTGAGAGATGTGGACAGATCCTGGAAGCACAGGAGATGAAGAAACACACTCGCCTCTCCACTGACTCGAAGGTGAGACCTGGCCCTTTCTGTTTGTGCCTGCTTACTGCCAGCTCTGGGAAGAGGGGACAACCCTCAGGCTCCTGAGGGTGTTCTCCGTGCAGTGGCAGAGCAGAGGCACCTCCCAACGCCAGCCAGAGACAGCTGCATCCCTGAGGATGATGAAGGACCGAATCCCAGGACCCTCCCAATCCCAGGCAGCCACCAGCTGAGGCATATGCTGGGGATGTGGTTGTGGTAACTGCAGTAATTGTACTCAAGGGAGACCTCTTCTCCACAGCTGGGAAGGAGGGAGAGGAACAAGGGGTTGCCCAAAGGTGCAGACCCGAGGACGCCTTCCAAAGCTAGCAGGCACGCAGCTTCTACCTACAGTCACTATCACTGCTGACTCCAGGTGAGAATAATCTTATTTTCTCGTTCTCCCCCATGCAATGGCCTGGGCTGCTCCTCTGCAAACAACATGGTAGACAGCACTGCACCTTAGTGGCAGGTAAGGTGCGTTTCACTGCAGTTCCCAGATGCCAAATCTTGCCGTGTCCTTGTGAGCAAGGTCAAAATGCAACACGCTGTCACCTCCCACAGATCCTGCATCCGAATATCTTCTCTGCACACAAGTACCTGCACATGTCGTTCAGACACCCCACCAGCTTCAGCTCGTCTTTACAAGTCATAAATGCCTAGGTGTATCTCTGCAGAAAATATGAAATAGCTTCAGGTCAAAATCTAATCCCTACAGAGCTGGAAGGTGGAAGCCATCCTGCTCTCCCACAGCTGTGGTTAGCAATTGTGGGGTTGCAAGTGGCGGTGGCACTCCTCTCCCTCGCTTTGCCCTCTTTCTTTTGGAATTGTGGTTGGGAAATAATGTGCATGTGATGCTTGCAGAGCTGTGGGCATCTCTTCATGTGCCGGTATTTCCCCAGCCCTTGGCATGCAGAGGCTGTCCGCCAGAGCTGGGACCTCATCCCACCACACACTGCAGCCCACAGCCATTGCCGTGGCCTGGTTTTGGGCCACTGCTTGGCTAAATTTGACTGCTTGATGGCTGTCCTGTTTTCTTCCTGGAAACAAAATACAGCTGGCATATTTAAAATAATAATGCAGTGGCTCTTTTCCTCTCTAAAATGGGGACATGAGAACATCTTGTGCACACAGACATAAAATAAGACCACAGCACTTGGAAAATGGTTCATTGAATCTTCAACAGAAATCTAGAGTTTCTGTGTCAAAACTGCAACATTAGTTCATGTTTTAGATGGAGAAATGCAATGCCTACCTGTGTATAGTGGCCGCATACTCGTGTGCACTTATTAGCGGCATAATTGTAGTTGCTGACCTCGTCGTACCATGTGGTGATGGCTGTCTGCACAGTAAAAATAGAAATGGAGCCAGTCCACAGGTTTTCTCCAACGGGGGTAAATTTGGGGTGAGCCTGCCCTGGATCTTTGAGGTATGTATTATGTTTGAACAGGCATTTCTTTGCCCAAGCTTTCGCGGTTGTTGCCAAATCTGGATCCCAACTCTGCAAAATAAAGACAACTAAAAATCACTTTGAAATCTCAGCAATGCAATAATTCAGAGCAACTTTGAGGAGAAGATAGGTCTCAGTAGCGTATGCGCTTCAGGTTTATTTGTTTTTTACTTCTGCTGAGACTTACAGAGCTACATGGTAAATTGTAGGTTCAGTTCTGATTTGAACCGAGGCAGTCATTACACTTGAGGAAGTTCATGGGGTGGTGGGTGATCTTGGCTGACTGGTTTGTTGGACACCAAGAGCTGTACGTCAGTCAAATGCAGTGTTCGGGGAGCAGTGTGCATTTCCAGGCTGTGCTGGCCATGAGAGAACACCATTTTAATTTACACAGTGAATTTGCAGGAAATCTGGAGATTGGGGGGGTTATGCTTAGCATATCAATCAGACTGGAGTCTTGTGCAGCCTCATGCGTTAAGGCCACGTTGCAGGTCAGCTCACAAGCACACTGAGATTTTGGGGACAGTTTAAACTCAACCCCTTGGTTTGCACCTCTGTGTTTGGTCGCTTCAAGTGTTAGTGCTGAATTCATATTTGTGGAATCACTCATTCACTTGCTATGCAATCCTACAGAAAGTGGTTATTTAAGCACTTGAGTTATATAAATGTCTTTTGTTTGCACTGGAGGTGGTGTCTGGTTTTGTTGGGTTTTCTTGTGCACACAACTTGATTGAGCAAATACAGTATTGTACCTCCTGGAAAAAGCAGTGCCATAAGTGTACGCCTGAACTTCAAGTTACACTTTGTGTCATGTAAATGAAGTTGTTCAGCACTGCTGAACTATTTGGATTGGACCTTTTTTATAAAAAACAAACAGTTTTTTTTACTTGTATTTTCTATATGGATTAAAATATCTCAGTTGCTTCTGCAGACAGTGGAATCACTAGAGAAATTGTTTTGAAGGGATCAGTAACAGTGACTAAGGAAAAGGTGGTTGTTTGTTAGATTTTATGGCTATGTTTTACATAATATAACTTTTTTATACCATAGATAAGTCTGAAATAATTTGTGTATTGTTTATGCTACCAATAAGTACTTAAAAATTGCGATATCGTAGCGAAATACATCTACAGAGATTTGAAAATATTTCGTAACCTTCCATTTCTTCCCATGACTAACATTTGTGTGGGCTTGTGTTCTCCCATAGAACTACCACATAAATAATTTGCCTCAGTGTATTACTCAGTATATCAAATATTAAAGGTAAACTTGGGGCAGGGGGTCCTCTTTCAAGTGAGCAGTTGATAATTCCTCAGATGATAACGTTTAAGGGCAATGAACAAAATGTGGCATTGTACAGAAGTTGTCCTCCAGTCCCAGCATTACTGCAAGTTAAGACAGAGGCTGCGGTTTACATCTTGGCAATGCTCTGAGATCGCAAGGAGAAGACCATGCTGAAAGATGGATGACAGCTGGTCAATGCACCTGAGTGCTTCACAATCTTGTTTGTCCCATTCTGCTTTTTAAGAGTTCGTCCATCTCTTTTCTTCTTCATCCTATAATAGTATTAAGTCTAAGGTTCCATAAAGGTATACATAAAATTGGTTTAAAGATAAATTAATAAGTTTAATGTACTTCCCTTTTTTGTGTGAATGCTTAAACTGGCTGATGGTTGAAAAAGCAATGGGGAGAAATTCATAGTTCAGAATGATCTTTAGTTTAACTATAGTTATACTTCTTATATGCTTATGAAACTGCATTTGTGCAAAGAGGTTGGACTAAACTGCATGGGGGAAAATGCACAGGACAGGGAGGTTTGCATACGGATATCATTGCTGTTTGAGAAAATGGTAATTACAATTTTTTTTCCCGCATGAACTATTTCTCAGTTTTGGTTTTATAACTCAGATAAGTTGCTCAGTGATTTAGAGAGGGAAAATTGATCATATGATTGGTGAAAAGTGATGTGAGGCATCAGTAAGTCAAAGGAGACCGTTGTGAGTCCCTGATGAAGCTGGTGAGAGTCTTTCTGCTGGTTTTGAAGAGTCTTGGAACAGATCTAAGCAATGCTTTGGGTGACTGGGAAAAGGGTTGCATTTGTCAGGTAAAAAAATGTTAGATCAGCAATCTCATTTTATAATACATGTATTACAAATATAGATGGTTGGGCTTTGTTACTTGCAGTTAAAGGAGTTTCTGTCTTGTATTTTCTTTTAAAAACTATTTTTCAAAAATGTGGAAATGCGCTGAGTTCATAGTCTTCTTTTTTATATATCTTGGTGGACAGTTATCTACAACAAACAGAAGTTCCCTATGAAATATAGAAGTAATCTTCTTTTCTTCATTTTTGAAGTGCTAAACGCCATTAAAAAATGAAGAAATAAGCTGTTTTCAATTCCAAGACTTTTACTTTCTATGATTCTATGATTCTACTTTCACAATAGATTTTATCATGTATGGTACTGCTTTCTCCACATTAAATTCTTGCTGGGAGAGGTCATACTTAAGACTAGGTTTTTGCAGTGCTTTAAAAGAAACTTATCATGTAACTTACTTGCTTTATTTGTAATAATCTATGTTTGTTTCTTAAGCTGGGTTGTTTTTTTCAGATTTCAGTTCTTTAATTTTTCAAAAGGAAAATTTAGGCACAATTTGAAAAGATGAATACTGCTCTTTTAACACATCACAGCAAGATTTTGTTGGTGTAGGGCTAGTAAAGCAATGTAGAAAACAAGAGTTTGGACCAATACGTACTGGAAGCTCAGGTTGCCCCACTAAGAAAGCTGCAGTAAAAGACACATCCAGAAGAGAAACTAAATCGTTTCCTGTCAGGCTTGCAACTCGAGCTTGCATTTTTTAGTGTGTGACAACCAGAAATGGAAAATGAGCTTTTTTTTTATTATTTTTTAACTTCAAATGGGGTGTTATGTCCTCTTCTGGTGGTGACTGTGTGAGATAGTAAGAAAGAGGAGCAGAGGTCAGATTTAGGACAATCACTATGGTCCACCTGAGAGATCTGTGGAGATTATCCCAAGAAGAAACACGATATCTCAAGTACTACCCAGTCAAAGCATAAAAGGCGATGGATGTTGCAAGAGACAGCTCTCAAGCTACTGGAATTGAGCATCTCACAAATCAGAGAAGGGTTTCTCAGCCGTAAGCCCATTTTTGTACACGCATTTACAGCTTCCTCCTTGCTGGGTTTTCCGTGTGCCACCCAGCAGAGAGACGAGTGTCACGAGCCACCTGAAATGAGACATGGCCACTTTGGGGTATATTTTGAATCATGACAGGCCACATTTTGCACAGTGGCTGCACATATTGCCCCCTGATGTGGCCAAGGAGAAGGCAGGGAGGGCACAGTGGCGTGGGACCTGATCCCTCCAGTGCTGCCTTCTGCTGCACTTGTTGCTTTTTGGCTTCCCCTGCAGCCCCAGCACCTAGGAACAGCTGCTCTCTTGGCTCAGCCCGTGAGAGCCTTGCAAAGAAAGCTTAGACAAAGCTCTCCGACGTCGTTTGGCAACGGTCTCTGCCCTTGCTGACTCCAAGTATGAAAGGTTGTGCTTAGGTCTGCATGTAAATTACACCCCGAGCTGTTGAGCTGCAGTGCCTTGGAGCGAGGAGGCTTTTCACAGCACAAAACGACTGTGTTAGGTTGAGGGTTGAAATCTTGGGTTTCAAATCAGGAAATTCAGCCAGGCAAAACTATACACGTACCCGATCACATAAAGCCAACTGATAATCACAGCCTTTTTCTCTGCTTTATAAAGAAGTAGCTTCTACGCTACCCCCCCCAGGAGGTTGGGGGGGGGTCCTTTTTTCTTTCTTTTTTTTTTTTTTTTTTGCATTTGATCGCAAAAACAATCTTTGAGAATCATAAACACCATCACAACACTACACACTTGCACGTAAGTCATGAAGATCCCCTTACCATGTAGAGCATGTTGCTGGCTGGTGGATTCACTCCAGACCGGAATCTGTTATGGGTTTGCACACATTCCTCAATAAACTTTGGATCTCCAACATCAGGCAATGTCAGGGGTTCATAGGAGTCAGAGGAAGGACAGAAGTGCAGAAAAGCCATCACACAAGCAGAAAATCTGCTTGTCATGATTCTCAGCCTCTGGTCTTCCAGCTTTAAGAGCAGAGTGTTTCAGCTGTACGAGGTGGTTTTAGCTCCACCAGCAGCGTTTTGCTTGGAAGGCTTGTGGGCAGGACTTATCTTAGCCATGGTAATTGAGTATGGCGTTGGTCACAGGAAATGAGTCATATTTCAGGAGCGTTGCTACGAGAATAAGGAAATTAAGCTACAAGTTCACATCAGAGCTGTGGCAGCTTTGTCTCTCCTTTTTCTTTCTTTCTTTCTTTAACAGTAGTGGGCAAGCTTTTTCCTTCCTGTCCTTTGGGCTTCTTTTTTTTTTGTTTCTTTGGCCCCCACCATCCCATCCATAGCAATCACTATGGCTTGCAGTAAAGTTTTGGTTAAATTTTCTGCTTTTCATGAAAATAGCATTGCCGTTAAGGCTGTTACTCTGAGCCAGAATGCTGTAAGAAATAATCAATTTGAACCATGACTTTTACTACAGTATGAACAGTCTCTTTGGTTGTACATCAAGTTATGGAAGGGGTTAGTTTGGCTGAGAACTGCAATTTAAATATGCTGCAGTTATTGATGGGTTTCTCCTGTGATCACACCCTTGTGCTATGTGTTGCTATCAATTTCTTCTCCCAAGCTTTAGCAATCCATAATTCATTCCCCGTAATGCAAGCCCCCAGCAGAGTTGGGCACCATGAAGGTTGGTGCTGTCTCGTGCCAGGTGCCCAGCACCCACACTGGGTTTCACTGCCAGGAGTTGGGAGCTGATGTCCCATGCACATTGCCTCAGGTGCCCAATGCTCCCTGCTCAGACCCACCACCATCACCACCCTCTTCCTCGCACTGCCCTTAACTATCACTTGTCCATCAAGCTCAGGCACTTTCCCACAGTCCCAACCTGGACATCTCTGTGGTAATGAGGTTGGGTTTCTTCCCACTCCAGGATTCATTTTAGGATTCTGCATCCTTTGAAGACCTGGGCATAGGTCCCAGTTATCACTTCTGTGCATGCAGTTCTGTAGGTTTTGGAACTGGTGGCAAGGCCACATTCAGGTTGGTGGTCCAGAATCACACTGTGAGCTTGTAACAGTAGCCCCACCAGCACACATTAGGTCCTATGGATCGCACACCTCCTGCTGTTCGTGGGAAGAATCCTTACAGGTGAAAAGGCCCTCTGAGGGAATCATGGATGATAAACACTGTGCTTACAACCCCTCTGTGAACCACTTCTTAGACCAGAATAATGTGGGTTGACCCCTGTCAGCAGACAAGCACCTGCACAGCTGCTCGCTCACTGCCCCTTCCCCAGCAGAACAGGGGTAGAAAACAGGAAGAAGAAAAGTGAGAAATCTCATTGGTCAGGATAAAGACAGCTTAATATGTGTGGAAAGGGGGGAGAGGGGGAGGATGACAAACAACCAAAAACCCCAAGTGATGCAAAGGCAATCACTCTCCACCCCTAATGGCAGACTGACGCTCAGTCTCTGAGCAATGGCCACCCTGGAAGCCAACCCCCCACCTTTCTTCTTCTTCTGCCCCATTTTTGTTTTTTTTGCTGAACATGAATATGTTACAGAATATCCCTTTGGTCAATTCAGGTCAACTGTCCCACCTGTGTCCCATTCCCAACCACTTGCTCCCCGCCTAGTTTCTGTAGCTAGATACGAAAGATGGCAGCAGACAAGAACAGACAATTGTGAAATTAAATATGTATCTTCTTACATGGTGACATTTTGCAGCATATGACAAGAGGCCAAACATTTGGGTTTCATTTTTATTTTGTGGGATGCCATGCTCCTTCAGAGCTGCAGTGTGGCTCAGAATTTGAGTCACAGTGTTCTCAAAACATTAAGGCAAATATAAAAGAGGAGAAACAGCTTTAAATATTGATAGCACAGTTATGTATTGCTAATATCAGCCAGTATCTCTTAGCTTGAAAGATGGGTTTGTTTCTTTTACTGACAAATGTATGCAGGAACATTAGGGGTCAGGGATAAATGTGTCTAGAAACAAATTAAATCCATCAGCAGTTTGGGCTTTTTTGATGAGGCTGAGATCTTCCATTTCCAAACCAGAATCTGTCCCGGGCCCATTTCATCTTCCCTCTCCTGTTTTTCCCCCCTGCTCCACCCCGGCCCTTTCCACCTTTCTCTTCCTGCAAGCTCAGGATGGCTGTCATCTACTCTGCATTTCAGAATTTGTCACCACCTCACATCCTAAAATTAAGTTCTCCCCGTTGACACTCCATCTTAATCCTTGCTCTATCAACTTTCCTTCACATTCTCCTAGCTATGGAGGACAAAGCTTAACTCTGAAAGGAGGAGAACAGAATAGTACAACTGACAACAGAGAAACTTTAATGGAGACTGATACACGCAGGCTAAATAGAGTAAAGGATAAGCTTTACTCTTTTTATTCTTAAAAATAATACGTACAGTTAAATCTCCATTATCTGGGGAAAGTGATGTCTTGGATTGAAGGGTAACTGAGATGAGTTATTGCTTCTTTTGGGTCTGCTGTGCCACTTCAGACATGTCCTTGTGATGCTCCAGGTCTCCAGGAGGCTTGTTAGCATGTACAGCAATATATAGTCTAAGTGGTCCCTCTAGCAAGCTGCTCCTGAGCCAGAGCTAAGAGGCTCGTGCAAACATAGAAGTGTGTTACAGCTACTCCCAATAAATTACACTAGTTCTATGCGCTGCCACTTATATCTTGCCTTGAGTGAAGAAGCAACCTTTTCTATGCTGGATAAACATCACAAGGATAATGGAGAGATGACCGTTTTGGTTTTTTTTTTTTTGCAAATACGTGCAATTCTCTGAGAGTAATGCAGTGGTAGGATCACTATCAGTATCTTAATTGATCATTACTCATTAAAAAATGTGTGTGGAAACCACTGTTGAACTAAAAGAACAGCACCAGTACTCAGTACCAAAAACAGTGGCCTTAAAACTGAAACACTAATACAGTACTGGTCACAAGAGGGACGTGGATGCTCAGCAGGGGGGATGTATGGCGGTGTGGGAGGCCTGGGGGGACGGGGCCGTGGTGGCTGCGGCTGTGTATCCCAGTCCGGATACCAGTAGGCATAATCTAAAAAACAGTGAAGAAACAGGTATTAAGACCCATCAACCTTAGCCATAGTTACAGGAAAGCAATTAAGAACAACTTGATACGTACTTATCAGCTTCTCACGTTCTGTATTTTCTGTAGAGATAAGAAAAGGAAATAAATGTGAGTAGCATTCAGTGGTGGTTCTTAATTTAAAAAGGAAACCCATTGCTGCTGCCTGGCTGATTGCACTGACAATGCCAGGCAGTGCTTAAAACGTCCTGCAAGGGGCAATTAGGCCAACAAGAGTGGGTTGCTGGCTGACGTGGGGCTCTCATTTATTATTGAATTGAAAGAAAGGCAGAAAAAAAGCAGTTGCATTAGGAAGAATTTGTGTCGTGGGGAGGAGGGAATAGCAAATAAAACCAAAACTTGTAATTTATTAAAAATTGATACACAAAACAAATTTAAGTAGTTACAGACAGACAAACCTAACAACTAAATTTATTACAGAAATACACCTTTACTAAGAGCTTTGATGCATTTGCAGGATTGCCTACGTGCATCCTATTGGAATTGCTGATTTGCCTTATAGGAGAATACGATAAAACGAGTTGTAGGATCTAGCACTTAATTTTTAAAAGCTCTTTTCTCCCTCTCCCTCCCCCTAGTCTTTGAGATGTTTCTAGTTTTCCTGTGATGCATCAGTCTGAGACTTCAAGATGAGTCAGCCAGGATATCACAGAAGGAAATAAGGATACCAAATGCTCAATTATTTCTACAGCTGAAGCTATCTAGAGCCTGGCTAGTAGAGACCATTCCCATTAACCCTCTGTATAAAATTAATATTTGATTTAAGACATTGCTGCATGTCCTTTAATCTCTACTTAAAACACTATTTGGGACTAATTTGGGACTAGGTGTAATGACATAAAGGTCCCCAGCTGCAAACTGCTGTGGAAAAACAAGCTCTCACTGCTGTACTTCAGCAAATTGTGGCAGTTAGAAATAAGTGTCCTTTTCAGTATAATCTCATTATTGGTTCACAGCTATAGTTTTCTGGAAAATGTGATAGGATGTACTAAACAAGCAAGCAAGAAGTAGTACTCATACTACTTCTTCTAGGGGAAAAAATAACCAGACAGAGAATATGGTTGGGGCTAAAGTTTACATATGACTTCCTTATCAGACAAAAGGCAGAAAGTAGTCTAACTGATACTCCATCAGAAACTCTGGCTTCTATGTCTGAGAGCCTTCAACAGCAAAATATTCTGATTAATTCCTTCTTATACTATCCTTACCAGGGTTTGGCACTGTTGCTGTGTGGTGGGCTGCAGACCCTCTATGTACTTACTCAGTGCAAATTGACTCACTGTTGTATTTCCACAGATAATTATGCCACTTCTATTTCTATGCAATTTTCTTAGTAGATCACTTTGGTCTTACCACAGAGCTTGTCTATGCACTTCTCATTACTGCATCCACTGCATGGTCGTCCTACTTTATACGGTTTTCTTGGGTAATTCCCCCTGCAAAGCAGAACAGTATTTTGTTAGCTCAGTCGTTTGAAAAGCAATTTAAATACATGGTTTCATCGCATCGTTACCATAATTTATCATGTAAAGCTACTATGGGGGGGAAATCCCTTTATCCAAAAACTAGTCATTGCAATTGTTTGACATTCCTTTTAGATCAGATTAAAGCTCTCACTGGCATGGGGAGCAGCTACCTGGTGACTCACCATCTGAAATTGAAGAGACTTCCCAGGTAATACTGTGTAAGCATACAAGAATCTGCCTCTAGTCCCTCATTACCCATCTGTATTTTAAAGAAAATCTGTAAAAGGTAAATCCAGAATTTACAAGGTATGAGATAAACTAGAGGACTGTCTTCTTTTCATTTTTTCAATTAAAATGTCTTGTTTGAAGTTTGGGTGGGGCCATAGAGAGATTTAATCTTTCTCAAACGGAAAGCTTGCACCTTCCCTACTTTTTCTGCAGAGACTGAAGTCAAAACAGATTTTATTCCACCATCTTGGTTAAGGTGAGTGCTCTCAGATGTGAGATGCTTGCCTGCATTTTTACAAAGAGATTTTCTGCAGCTCTGACTATGTTCAGCAGCTTCTGCTCTTAATGGATGGGGGAAGTTTCCTTCCGACCGGTGACATGTGGACATAGCTTCTGCTGAAATTTGTTATGACTGCTCCCATTGTTGTTAGCATCTGATACCAGCTTGGTTATAGGACATTTAAAAATTAAAACCCCAAAATCCCAAATGCCATAATTAACTTACGCTGGCCCATAGTTGCAAACAAAATGTGCTGCTCGGAAGAGCCCCGGAAAATTTTCAACTGTATTGCAGAAGTGGACTGCGCAGCCAACTTTGTAACTCTCTGCCCAAACGACCTGAAGGGCAAAGGGAAACATGTAATGCACCTGTTCAAACACCGAAAGAGCCACAGCATTAAGGGAGGGAGGAGAAGGGGAAGTTTAAAACAGACAACACAGGAGCAACATTGACAACCCAAAGGGCAGCTTAGACAAACGACTGATCGATAGATGCTTTTGCATTTATTATCTGTCTCCCCTGGGAACATGAAGTTGTCAGGGGATAATCCCTTTCCAACATTACTAAAAATAGGACTCAGGCATCCTTGGGGCTCGGAGTAGTTATTTCCAATCTCATGCAGCAATAAACTGGGGGGTGAAAACCCCTGCTGCAATTCCCTATTCCAAAGCGGTCCGTTTCAAACCTGTGCTTGGATTTTCTGTAAAACCATTACATTATAAACCACTGGGTGTGTAAGTCTCACCTGGGTGTAGTGACCACACATGCCAATACAGCTATTGGTGTTGAAATCATAGCTGCTGACTTCATTAAACCAATCACTGAGAGCTGCATCCACGGAGAAGATGGTGGCTGTGCCAGTCCAGATGTTTTCTCCAACAGGAGTAAAGGTGGGGTGCACCTTCCCCAGCATTTTAAGGTAGATATTGTGCTTAAACTTGCACTTCTTTGCCCACGCTTTGGCAGTCTTAGCTAAAGCAGCATCCCAGGACTGTAGAAAAGGAAGAAAACAGAATATGACCTGCACTGCAGTGACCTTGCTGAATTCAAACATCTTTAAACGGAAACTTGTAAGGATTATTTTCCCCTTTTCCTGCTTCCCATCCCTGCATTCAGTTTCTTTCCCTGACTTGACATTTCTACTCCCACAACAAATTTATTTTCTTCTTTCTCCCTTAGATATTGCAGGACACATCGTATCTACCCAGTGTCCCATGGTATCTGACTTGTTAAAATACTTAGAGCTGGACTGCAGTTTTTAAGCGGCGCGGCCTGAGAGGAGGCAACTGGGTGAAACCCTCAGCCTTAGAGGGGCTTGAGGGACTGTATGCCTGGGAGCTGTTGGCTGTCCCGGGATTTGTACTTTGCAATTATCACTAGACCAGAGAGGAATTCTGTTCTGCTGGATAGGACGGAGAGGAGGAGAAGAGTCACAGCTGCTCCCTCCCCCAGCCCCTTCTGCCTCTTTGCTCTTCTCCCTCCTCAGTGTGTGACCAAAGGAACTTTTAAAAGGCTCACTCATCTCTGCCAGGCTGAGGAGGAACCATTCCCGTCCTAAGTGGCACAAATGACAATTTGAGAAACCGGTCTGCAAGACTTGCCGAAAGATTTTATGCCACCAAATAACCAGGCAATAAAAAGGCATGTAAAATTCCATACAGACAAATATAAGTTAAGGGATGTGTTTTTTTAAAAAAAAAAACAAACAATTTTGACTCTGTGTTCATAATGACAGGTTTGGAGCTGGCTATCACCACTTGTAAATCAATGTTTAGAAGTAGTCTGAAAAGCAAATAATGTGTTAGAAATTCCCTGAGAAGGAATGAAGAATAAAACCAGGTATATAATTACACCACTGTAGCAGTCCTGTTAAATGCTGTGTGCAGCACCTCACCTTAAGAAGGCGATGCTAGAACTGGAAAGGACAGAGAGAGCCTCAAGGAGGATGATCATCCTCAAGTATGATGGGCTTTCATAAAGCACCAGAGGGTGCTCCGCAGCTTTGTTCAGAGGCAGCTGGGCATCTTGTGTGAAGCAGGTAAATAAGCAATGATTACTTGCTCCTTCCAGTGCAAAGACCAGAGACTATCAAACAAAGCTAGGAATTTACATGTCCAAATGAAACGCCAGGAGACATTTTCACGCAACTCGTGGTTAGGCTGTACAGCTTTTTGCTACATGATGCTAGGGATGATAAAAACCTGCATGAGCTCAAGGTTGAAAAAAATGATACAAGAAAAATCCATCAACAGCTTTTAAATATAATGCAATACCTTTGATTCAAGAGGTTTCTCTATATGTGTCCTGTTCTTATTCCAGGCTTGCTGGATCTTTGGCCTGCGCAGCTGAGTTCGCTCATGTGTGCTAGCATTTTAAATTAAACATTGTTTTTTAAAATGGCAAGAACTTAAAATCACAAGTAGTCTGAATTTTACCCCTTTACAATGAATTTCCTGTCATAGAAATGATTCATAGTGTGCATGCGGTTATGCATCTAACTTCCTTTGCAGCTATGCTACACTGCTGGAGGGCTCAGAGCAATGACATTAACTGACTGGCGTTACCTCCTTCAGCTGTCCAGCCGCCTTCTTCCTCATCTCTTCCACCGAACAAGCTGAGACCTATCCATGGCCTGTTCTGATACCCATTATATTTATAGGAAGCTCTGCTTTCCACCCCAGATATTAGCATCCCTACTCCCCAAACCCAGCTACAGCAAATGAAGATTGGGTATCTATAAATGGATGCCCTGGCAAATCCCCCTTTCTTCAACGCTTGCTCTAGATTGGAAGAAACAAGGGGAGCTGATAGATTGTCAACAAATCCTGTTGTGCTGAGAGCCTTCTTAGGAGCTTTGTAATACCAAGCAGCTTCCCTGTATGAAACCAGTCTAACACCAAACAGATTACTATCTTTCTTAGAAAGAGGTAAATGAAACGCTGAGAACTGAACACTATTTTTTGCAATACAGCCCTTTCCTCTGGCTGAAGTTTAGAGTAGCCATCTGTCCCTAAACAAAGAATTCCCTTCGAATTACTAAAACTGAACAATACTGTGAAAATTAATATCTTTTCTATTTCCTATGATGAACTAACATATATAGTACAAAAATCACTGACAGAACGGAAAATAAAATCACAAGCCAAATGAAGAATAAGATGGGCTAAATCAGCAGCACAATCTATATTAATTTTCAAACAGATCACGAACGCCTCCTTACCATGCGAAGCATATTGCTGGCTGGTGGATTCACCTTGGATCGCAACTGGTTGTGAGTTCTCACACAGTCTTCAATGAACTTTGCATCTTCTATGTCAGGCAAGGGATATTGCAGATAAGCATGACAGCAAGAAAAGAGATCCAATAAGAACAATACAGCAAAGAAAAATGTGATTTGCATAATTCTTCAATACTTCCAGTATTTATTTTTTTTTAAGTTTTTCCAAGAAAAATCTTTTAGGTGGAGATAATACTGGCAAGCAGTTCTTCAGAGGTTGTCCTCTGGGTGCGGAAGCATTTGAAAGTGTCAAAGTAACAGGAAGCGAAATTGCTTCATAAGGTGCAGCTCAGCCTGATGTCATAGCTGGCTGTCAAAGGGTAAACCGTGAAACTGGCATCTGCCACATGTATTAGCCAGGAGCACCACTCCATGTACACTTCTGCCTTTTCTTTGAGCACGCTCCATTCTGGTTGACTGCCAAAGCATTCTGCGCCGGTAGGTCTTATCTGAAGAGACGCAGTAGAACAGCTTCCCTAAAACCTGCATCAGCCATAAAAAATGTAGCTTTGACAAAATACAAACCTGCTGTTCAGCTGATCTTCCTACAGTATGGCTTACTCATACCAGCTCAGTTACAATTATTTTGCAGGACCTTGCTTCCATTTCGGAATTACTCTGAATGAGGGAAGCTGCATATATTGAAATTTGACCTCAATACAAGAAAAAAAAAAGTTCCTCAACAGCAGCTTGCTGCAGAACACACCTCCTGACCTGGTTTGGTGTACAACAAAAGTACAATTTGGAAATCCCAAGCTTGAGCAGGTGTGGATTCTCTCCTTCCTTAGCCATTTGCCGTTATCTGATAGCCTGAAATGACCGGAGGAACTTCCTGTGCTCCTGGAAAGAGAACGGCAATAGGATTAGCACTGTTGGTGTAAAGTTCCAAGTCTGATCCCTTCTTGGGGAGGTGAGATGGGCTGCGTCGGGATTTGTTTTGTCTCACCAACTGTTCTACAAGCTGGCTGAATTTCTTTCAAAGCTACACCAAATTGTATAAACATGCAAGAGCATAAGAACAACCGTATGTTTTAAGAGCTAAGGTTTTGTAACTCAGATTTAGGTAGGTTTACAGAGAAAATATGTTGTAGATTGAAAACAACAATTCAGGGGTCTGATTCCCTGCTCAGTTTTGCAGGTCAGGCCTTATCCTGCCAAACACTTGTGGAAATTATCATTCTGGTGTTGCCTTCTCTGTTTGCTTGATGGCTTTTCCCTCTTAAATAATACCCTTGATTTGCTTCAGAGAGTCTTGTAACAATCCGTACACCTAACTCAGATAGGCTGAAGGAGCTGTAGCCCTCCAACACCATCACAGCTGTACCTATCTGTGCCATCGATGGGAAGCATATAATGAAATATTTCTCTGTGTATGGATGTCTGTGCATCTCTAATGCTCACCCTCCTCATAGCCCTGACATGATTTCTTGATCAATTTCATGAAGGTAGGGGCAGCTGTAGGAGGCAAAAAAGTGTGGGAAGGGACCTTTTGGTGTTTGAGATCTTTTGGGAAAGAAACAAAATTGGGAACCTCCAATTATTCTTGTTGGACAGGCTTAACACTGCCCTTACCAATAAGCAGCCCTCAGAGGCACTAAAGACACGGACAGAGGGGGAACTCAATAAGTATTACCTTTTCTTCCTCTTTTTTTTTTTTTTTTTAGAATAGTTTCCTGTGCTTTGAAACTCTCCCAGTAAGATCACCATTTTTTTTCTCTAATAAAGTTATTTCTGTTTAAGAAAGACCAAGCTGAAGTGGTCAGCGGGAGGAGACTGGCCACCTTCTTTTTCTCCATGGGCACAGCAAGCTGTGTGCAAGACATTTTTGGTCCTGTCACGTCCTTGATGAAAAGATGCAAGAGGCACTACCAGTCATCTCAAACTCTCACCTCCCTGCGGACTCTGCCTTCGGGTGTGCCGCTATCAGTGCCAAGGTCCCTTGTCTAGTAGACATCAGTTCTGTTCTCTTCTGCTGTCATGCTCTATCCTAGAAACCGTGTGTGGGCATTGGCAAAGGTGGTAGGGCCCTCAGCTGTGGTGGGACATTTTAAAATGTACAGGAGGATGGCCTCTTGCTGGCATTGGTGACTGCTGGTCAGGCTGGGATGGTGAAGGGGATCTTGGGAGGGAGGTTTCCTCCTGTGGGTGCCATTACCTTCTGTCCTACCAGAGGACCGAGGTTGGTCTCTCCCATCAGCTTCTGGGCTACAAAGATCCACCATGTGCACTCCTGAAGCCCACAAGGTACTATCCAGGTGCCACGGGCAGTATGGTGTGTGTGTGTGGAGCACCAGGTAATGGAGAGATCCTTAGATCAAATTATGAGAGTTTAGATTCACTATGGTGAACGGCCCTCTCCCCTGCTTCCACACCGAACACAGAAGGCCTGTCCACTGCTTTGTTCCTTCCAAAGTCATCTTGCCTCTTTTCTAAACCAGGGCCAACTGAGCTCAGTTTACTGCCAGTTATTCTTCCTCCAGCTGAATTATTACCCTGAAACTAGAAAGTATGTATGTTTTCTCTTTCTTTTTCTTTTCTAATAATGCCCATGCAATCTCTGAGAATCTAAAGCCTTTGGTCAGCTAGACAATGTAAAACTATGATTATATTACAACTACATGCAATTTGCACAAAAACTATCATCACACTAAAACTGCACCACTAATTTAGCAACGCAGTGATCTTGCAGTTATATGTGCAAGCAGCTGAAATTCTGTGCTTGGAAACTGAACTGAGATCTTTATGAAGTAGGAAATTTTGACATATCCAGGATAGTCCAGGTTATACGATGCCTTCGTGCGGAGACGACTCTGGCTCCATCTAGTGACTCCATCTGTAATCAACGCAGAAGCCCAGCCTGCCCTCAAGCATCAAAAAACGTTGTTTTCACCAAAAGAGAGTTATAATTCTTTGCCAGCATTAATCAGTGGATCTTGTAAACCAGATGAAAATTAAGCTTTGGGATTTGGATGTCACATTCTATTTATCTGGACAATACAAGCCTTGCCTGTCCCTGCATGGATCTCAAGTGAAATTTAGCACAACGAGCTGGGTATGGGCGGGAAGCTGTACAGCCCAATGATTTTGAAAAAATGCCCACGTTTACATCCCCCTTTCTCACCTCTCACCCGCTTTCAGTTTAAATTGGCTGGAAAAATAAGACCTCAGATTTTTAGTTTTTCCCTAATGTATCATTCAGTCAGAGGAATAAAGGCTGGGGGATTACAGATTATTACAGATATCCAGGATGCCTGGGAATCTGTAAAATTGCATTTAATTTTGTCCTCAAATCATCAACTACACCCAAGAATACTGTTACCTGTGTTGCGGAGAGAACCTGTTCGTTCTTGACTTCCCAGGTTCAGCTGAACAAACAGGGGTGGATCTGCTGGGTTTTCTTGTTCTGTCCACAGGATTTGGCAGCTGCAAAATCGTTTGTGATTCCAGGCCTGTGAATAAACTAATATTCTGACATGCATCGCTACTTCTGTTACACAGTCTCACCTCAGGGCAGAAAACAGGTTAAAGGAAAGGATGGTGGTGGTGCTGGATTTCCACAAGAAATAATTTCCAATAAACTATTTTGTATTTATTAAAAGCTAAAAAAATCTGGCAATTATTTAGTAACAGTGAGGCTATAAAGAGCCTCATAATTAACAGGAGAGGCCATCAGTATGTGGTTGGACTGCAGGTAGTTTTACTGTTAGTTTTGATTAGGAGAATTTGCACGTTGTTGCTTACTGCATCTATGCCCCTTAGCGTAACTGAGCAAAATCACACTGCACTGCTCACTGCATTCTCTGAACAATGTACCAGGACGTCATCGGACCAAAGCACAAGAGGTTGGTAGGGTGTTCTTTCCCCTGTGGTGCCACCTCCTGCCAGTCAAGGTGGCCCTTTATTGCATCTACTTTGCCCCTCAAGGACAGCCTGTTTCAGTTCCTTCCCTCAACCAAAGGATAAGGTTAAGTGTGAAGCACTTGGCTTCACACTTGGATGGCTCCTCCCTTTGGTGATAGCTCTGCTAAAGACTGGGAGGGGAAAATGGATAGGCAGTGATAGCGCTGTGGAGGACAGCAGCCTCCTTAACCATATAAAGACCTGAAGGGAGGGTGTACAGAAGACAAGACCCAGGCTCTTTTCAGTGATGCCCAGTGACAGGACAATAGGCCATGGGCACAGACCGGAACACGGGAGGTTCCCCCTGAACATCAGGAAATACTTTTTTACTTCGAGGGTGACCAAGCACTGGTGCAGGTTGCCCAGGGAGGCTGCAGAGTCTCCATCCAGAAGCTGTTTGCTCATGGACCTGTGCAACGAGGTGTAAGTGGCCCTTCTTGAGCAGGAGTGTTAGACCAGATGACCTCCAGAGGTCTCTTCCAACCTCAACCATTCTGTGATTCTGTGATTCCTTGATGGAGCCAAAGCTTCAGCAGGTTGTGCAGGACGAAGGATTTAGCATGACTTCAACACCACAGATACAGGAAGTTTGTTGCAGAGTACAAGCTTATGCCTAGCTGGGCAGGATCTCTGGTTATCTTCCTTGCCCTTCACACATGGTTTAAATTTCTTGAACTTAAATTACTATCATGTGTCACATTTGTTTCTTTCTTTTTAAATTCAAGGCATTTGAAAAATGAGGTGGCTTTTCTGCTGTCCATTCTAAGCCTCTTTTCACAGGATAACACCAGAAATGGTTACTGCACGGCAGCAGTATGGAAGTGTGAAAGTTTGAGAACCGCTACAATACTACTGGAGTATTACAGAACAGTACTCAGGAATCTCCTGAGAGAAGATACAGCAGGCCATTAAAGTCCACATCCATGCTGTTTCTCAAAAGGGTATCTTGGAATGAACTATCTTCTCAGCCACTCCTAGATTTCCTCCCCAAAACACCAAATTGGGGAATGTGGCAAACTATATGTATTTTGTATAGACACCGCAAGAACCAGCACTGAGGACAGAAACCTAGTGTCACAAGTTCAGGAAAGCAGAATGAAAAAAATATTTTCATGGATGGAAAACCACTTCCTTTACTGAAACAGGATCTGATGGCATCGCTATCTGCAAATCATTCAGTGCTGCAAATTCCACACTGCTTAGCTCAGGAAAAACACTAAAAC